ATTAACACTTCCCCTAGCCATCTTTATTCATATTGTGATAATACACAGTTACAAATGTAACCTCACAATTATATAATAAGGTCACTTATTTTTTTGTGTGTATCTCTCTGTAAGGTAATATTTCTACTCCAACTCATTTAAACTGGATTCATTTAAAATGTCTGTTTTTAGTAAAAGTCATCACTGGAAATTATTTTTGCTTGCGTAGTACTGTGATTTAAACTTACAGTACTGTTCTGTAAAATTCCCAAATGTTTTTTCTCTTATATTTGTAAAATTTAGAGGATATTCTTAATCTCTCTCTGGATCTCTCTCTTATTCATATTTAATCATTCACTATGTAAATATGACAGGTATTTCAATATTAATTTGTAACTAGAAAAGGTTTTCTTTGGCTCACAATTTTGGAGGTTTCACTCCATGATCATCGTAAATGATGATAAATGATCATGTTTTTGCCTGTGAGGAGGCAGTGGATCATGGTGGTAATGTTTGTGACTGAGCACTTTTTCTTCATGTCCAGGAAAGAAAAGAGAGAGGAAGGAAAATACCTCATTCCCACAATCCTCTTCCAGGTCACACCCACAGTAACCTATAGACCTCTCACTAGGCTCCACCCTTTAAAATTTCCATCACCTCCCAATAATGCTAATCTGTGTATCAAGGCTTTCACATATGTTCCTTTAGGAGATACTTAACACACAGCAGTTCCTTGACCATGTCATATACTTTGTCTTTCTCTGTCTTAATTCATACACAGGCACCAATGCAGATAACTCTTCTCCCAGGTATCATTCTTACTTTTTGCAGTATTCATAGCATTGCTTCTAAATGATCTTTTTCTAATAAATTAATCTGCTATCATCCCCTGTATTAGTCACCTGTGTGTTACAATAATACCTAAGACAGTTAACTTATAAACAGACAATACTGTCTTACTCACAGTTCTAGAGGTTCAAGCCCAAGATTCAGTGGTCCCATAGCTCCAGACCTCTGGAGATAGTATCAGATGAGAATGGATGAATCACATGATGGAGCAAATTACTCATACAATGAGCCAGGAAGCATGGAATGGGCCAGAAACATTTCATCTTTAAGGGGTATGCTCCCAATGATGTACAAACCTCTTATTAGGCCCAATTTTTCTTTTTAAAATCAATTTGTTATTGTAAAGGTGATGTATAGAAGGGTTACAATTACATAAATCAAGTAATGAATATATTTCCCTTTGAAAAGTGTCACTCCTTCCCTCCTTTTCTCCCACTTTTTCCCCTCCCGACTGCCTTCCCTTCCAAGTTGTAAAGGTCATTTCCAACAGTGTCTAGTGAGTATCACTGTTGGATTGGTTTACCCTTTGTCCCACCATTTCTGTGCTTCCTCCTCCCCTCCCCAAATCATTATATACAAGACAAAGAGTACAGAAAACAAAACAACTACAAAAGGGGGGAAAGAAAAAGACTATAAACAGTGCAATAAAATCCCCTTGTTTCCATTTCTTAATGTTCATTTCAATAAGCATAAGGTTATAGGATCATATGCACATAACTATTGAGCCTTTGTGATCCTCTCCTAAGAATATCCCAAGAAACATAGGCTGGATGGTTTCGCTTATTTGTAATAATTAGAATGTGCCTATAAATCTACAAGTAAACTCAATGGACAGTAAAAGACAAGAAATTACATTTGGACATGATTAATTAAACATGTCTCTAAACATTCATAAAGTGAAACCATAGGCCCAATTTTTGAAGGGCTTCCTGAGAGATATTTAGATGTTCTTAGATCATTAGGAGTGCAATGTAGTAGTGAGTATCTCTCAAAATTAACACCTGAGGACCATACCTTTTACATCTGGACTTTTAGGGATCACTATCCATATTCAAACCACATCTGCTCCTCAGAGAGACACAGTTCTCACTGATTCTGGCTGTTTCCCCAGACCTTCCTCTTTTCTTCCTCCCTGAGTCCCAATGGATCAAACACACTGAAGTTGTAAGTTGTCATATGTTGTGCCAGCATTGAGTCCCTGGACTTGGGAAACTTTTCTGAGAACTGTAAACTCACTGTCTCGCTAAAATTCCTCTGGCCAACCCAAAACAAATTAATTGTTACCATGCATATGAGCATTGCAGGTCATAGACACGATGTGTCACATTATACTGAAATCACTTTTTAGGTCTGTTTCTCCCCCTATTCCTTTCAAGATAAACCCTCAGGAAGAATGGGAAATCTTGTGAACTTTATAAATCTTTAATGTCTAGCATTTACTGACTGGCACATAGAGGATGATCAATAAGTCTTTCTTGAAAGCATAACTGATTTAACATGAAGCAAATCGTGTTCCTCAAATAACTCTAAATATAATTTTGTGGGACAATATTGAATAACAAATATGTTGTTATGGTTGTTGAGTATGGTTGGTACTGGGGATGAAAACTAGGGCTTCATGTCCTAGGTAATTCTGAAGAACACTACTACTGAGATACACCCTTAGTCCATATATATATATTCTGATAAATAAAAAATATATGGGCTGGGAAAGTGGATCAGTGGTAGAGTGCTTGCCTAGCATTCATGAAACACTGGGTTCAATTCCTCAGCACCACCTAAGCAGAAAAAGCTGGAAGCTGCACTGTGGCTTAAGTGGTAGAGTGCTAACCTTGAGCTGAAGAGCTGAGGGACAGCACCCAGGCCCTGAGTTCAGGCCCATGACCTATCAAAAAATATATATATATTATTGAGTGGACTATAAAGGAGAGCAAGCATTTATTGCTGACATTTACTAATTACTTTTGGTCAACATGTGAATGTTGAGTAAACATTAGTAGTTAAAAGTAAGTCTCCGTATTAAAGTCAATAACTTTATGAAAAATCTCACCAATTTCAGTAAGAGGAGAACTATAACCTTAAAATGCATGTTCCAATGTCAGGAAAAGGCCGCTTCTGTTTGTTTTTGTTTAGTTTGAAGGGTTCAATGGGGGAAAATAAAATGTCCACATACGAAGTGAAAAATACAAGACTGGTTTGTTCGTAAAAGTAGGGAGCATAGTAGCTCAGTGGGGGAGCACTTTCCTACCGTGATGAGGAAACTGCAATGAATCCCCACCCCTTGCCATGGAAATTAAACCAAATAATCACACAATAAAGGGCAGACCAGAATCCTCAGCAAATTCAACTCAAATCCTCCTTGAGTCCAGGTCACCTAGAAAAGGGAAAAAAAGGAAAAGAGGGAGAAAATTAGGAAGAAGGAAATGAAGAGGAAAAGAGAAGGGAGCAAGAGAGGAAGGGGAAGACATGCCTGAGAAAGGAGTTTTTAATCAATTTTCAATAAAGACACACATCTCAACATTTCTTTTGGTTTGGGGGGGGGGGCAGGGACAGCTAGGAAGACTTTGTTAGAATTAGAATCCCAGCCTTCTGTTTCGTGACTTGTTATGCGCAAATATTAGAATTCTTTGTTCACATCTGTGTGTGAAACTATTTTGAAACTATTTTCTTGATAAGGTGAGGCCTTTTCAAGGGCTATCGTTCTTCTTGTCTGTCTTACTTCTCTTCTATGAAAACACTGTTTTCATAGGTCCCATGATTTCCCTTATTTGCAATATCTAGTATATGTATGAGTCAAGCAGAAAAGGTCAGATAATGTGATGTTAGGAAAATGAACCCTTAGATATGTAATTAAATGTTTTTTTTCTTTCATGCATTTGTTTCTAATGCAGTTATAAGATTATTTCTTTGTTGCTTTGTATGTCCCTCCCCCACAGTATAACCCCTGCTTTCACTGTATTTGATGTCGGTATAATTTGTGGAGGAGAAAGGGAAAAACAAGTCCTTTAAGGATACCGGTGGACCCTTTGCAACAATGAGAAGTACAAGTCATTATGTCGAAAAACGAACTTTACAACTTTGTGGGGGGAGGACTGGGTGGGGGGTCAGGGGGAGGCTGGGAAGGAATGTGAAGGGTAAACAAAGGAGGAGGCTGCAACGCTTGATAAGAAATATACTCATTATCATGCCCATGTAATTGTAACCCCTCTGTACAGTATGTTCACAATAAAAAAAAAGAAAACACTGTTTTCATAGCAACAATCATTTGCTTTCATTGTCCTTTTAGTCTCAGTAGCCCAGCATGATGGTCTATGGAAATATGATTATGATTTATTAAGAGCAAGAGAAGTTCAAAAGTAAAGTCAGGCAAGAGAGAGGTATAGATTTTGAGCAAAGAAAGTTTCTGTACCTGAATCTGTACAATTTACAGCATATACAAATTTCTTTAAGACTAAACTTATTCTTTTTTTAAATTTACAGCATATAGTAAAATTTATTGTCAGTTTTCCTGGGTGAATTGCAAATGAGGGGCTGGATTTGTAAAGCAAGCTCAAGTATTACCTATTCCATAGAATTTCATCCTGGTCATTTTACCACATGGTAGAAATCTGCTCTCATCCCTTGATTCCCTCCATTGAATTTTGTTCTCATAGGAATAATTGTTTACATTCCATACTTTATACAAAAGAGCAGTCAGTATTCATGTTAGTCCTGGGTTTGAACTCAGCAGGGTCTGGGTGCACTGCCTTAGCGTTTTTTGCTTAAGACAGGTGTTTTTTCATTTGAACCAGAGCTTCAATAATGGCTCTTTGGTGGTTATTTGGAGATAAAGAATCTCCCAAACTTTCCAGCCTAAGCTAGCTTCAAGCCATGATCCTCAGATCTCAGCCTCCTGAGTGGGTAAAGTTACAGGTGAGAGCCACCACCAATAGGTTTAATATTGTACTGTTTTTACAAATACTATAGGCACTAGATCAAATGCTTTCTAAGAAAATACCTTTAAAATAAAAAAGAATAGTAACACTTCTGATTGCCTTTCTAGCAACAGGAAATACTGCATACTGTGAGGATAATAAAAGATATTAAGAATTAGGAAAAACAACTATTTAATTTCCATACTAAGAAACAAGCTTTTCCAACAACTTTTCCTTTTCTCATCTATCCTTATGTACTGGAGCTGTTTATAATGGGATCGTGTAAATGGACGTACTTTTAAGTTCAGTCACATATATATTCCTAAACCTCACTTTTTAAAAATAAGGTTAGGAGCAGATGGTTTTCAAATTGATATTGATAAGGACTATTTTATGGTAAGCTTGTATAGATGTAGCTATGTGGTTGTTTTGTCTTTTTAAATGTGTGTGTGTGTGTGTGTGTGTGTGTGTGTGTGTGTTCAGGTGCTAAGGCTTAAACTCAGTGCCTGGGCAGTGTCCTTCAGCTTTTCCCATCAGCGCTGACATTCCACCAATTAAGGCACAGCTCCACTTGCTGCTCTTGGGTAGTTAGTTGGAGATAAGGGTCTCATGGACTTTTCTGCCCAGCCTGGCTTGGAACTGTAATCATCAAATCTCAGCCTCCTGAGTAACTAAGATTCCAGGTGTGAGCCATCACCATCCAGATAATGACCTGGTCTTAACTACTTTTGTGAACTTCTTTTCTAAAACTTGCAACTCCCATGACACTTTGAATGACAAGGTGCAATATATTCTAAGTCCAGATCTTTGCACATTTATATTTAACTATGTTTGTCTGCAAGTTTTCAAATCACAAAACAACCTTGACTACACATATTGATGAAGGGCAGTGGTGACAAGCAGTATAGCTAATGCTATTACATAAAAATCACCTCCAAAGTGCTCCTGCTATTTATGTGAATTTGTTTTTAAAAAGATGGCTACAAATGTAATCTTCTTGCACACTTTGATGTTTGGGGTTGTTTGCTACCAGCAGATTTTTCGTTGCAGCTAAACATACATTTCAAATTCCATGAGAGAGATAAGCTTTATGAAACAACTTATAACAACTTCTCAGAAAATTGCACATTTGAAGATCCAATTTTGTTTTTTCATGCTACCCCTGAAACAGCCTTCTTTGCTGGTCACCAGGCAATTTCCCAAACTCTTTGAGAATTCTCTTCCTAAACAATTTTTTTTTCTAGAAAAGCTTTTGGCAATAATTTAACACTTCTGTCTGCCCTGGCGAGTTGGATGAATTAGAAAGATGTGAAAATATGTTCCAAGGAAAATGGAGCAGGGCCTGAGTTCTTACCTGGGATCCGGTGCCTCCCTGGTGAGCACGGTTCTCTGTCAGGTTACAAGAGAATGAAACAAATGAAGACTTGTTACTTTTAATTTTTATCCTTAGCTTTAAGCATTCTACTGAGCTCATGCAAATTATTAAATTGTAATGCTTCAGTAAAATGATTTCTATTACTACTACTACTGCTACTATTACTACTACTACTACTAATAATAATAATAATAATAAACCTAAGCAGGGCACTGGTGACTCACACCTGTAATCCTAGCTATTTCGGAGGCTGAGATTTGAGGATCTAGGTTCAAAACAAGCTCAGACAGGAAAGTCCATGAGACTCTTGTCTCCAGTAAACTACACACACACACACACACACACACACACACACACACACACACCCCAGAAGTGGAGCTGTGGCTTAAGTGGTAGAGTGCTATCCTGAAGCAAAAAAAAAAAAAAAGAAAGGAAAAGCTCGAGAATAGTGCCCAGGGACCAGGTTCAAGTCCCAGGACTGACAAAACAAACAAACAAAAACCATGAAAAAGTATGGGTGGTAATACTGATATTGTTGGAATATTAGATACATGCTGTCTCCTTGATGAACTATAATATTTATACATTAGATAAACAAAATGTTTGTTAGGTATATATATTTCTTTATCTATAAACTATTTGTAACAACCATCTCTCCCATAGCATTAAATGAATTCACACAAGTAAAGTTCATGGAACAGAGCTCCACCTACTCTATGTGATGAGTCTGTTTTATATACTTCCTACACTACTGATAGCAGTCAACTAATTTGAGCAAATGTTATTAAAAACAGGCATAATATTCATTAGGAAAACTTCACCTTAAAATATGTCTTTAAAAGTTAAGTCTTAGCTGAGTTTGTTGATACATACCTATAAACCAGCTACCAGAGAGGAAGGTTAGTATGATTTAAGGTCCACGGCTAGCAGAACAAGAACATTACCGAAACTAGCTAAAAGCAAAGTAAACCAACCAAACAACCAAACAAAAACAACCACCATCATGATGAGACAAACTGGTAGTACTATCCACATGGCAGGTGGAGGTATCTAAAAAATAAACTAAAGCAATAAGGGCTAGGGCATGGCTCTAGTCAGAGAGCAGTTGAGCACAAGGGCTTCAGTTCAAGCCCTAGCTGCTTTTGCTGTGCTGGTTTTGGGGCTTGTGTTCAGAGTCTCACATTCTTAGCTCTTCACTGAAGCGCTATACTACTTTACTACTTGAGCAATCACTATACTACTTGAGCAATGTCTGTAGTTGTGGCCTTTTCTTTGCTGGTTACTTGGAGACAGTAATCTTCTGGACTTATCTTCCTCGGATGACTTCAACCTTCGGTCCTCAGATCTCAGGCTCTGGAGTAGATAGGATTACAGATGGGAGCCACTGATACCCAGCTTTAGATAGATAGATAGATAGATAGATAGATAGATAGATAGATAGATAGATAGATAGATAGATAGATAGATAGATAGATAGATAGATATAGGTACATATACACACATACACACATACACATATATAAAGTGGATACATAAGTACATTTATATTAGCAATTGACTCCAAATTTGATGGCCTTTATTCTTTTATCACTAATGATCTCTATCCCTAATCTTTCTTCCATGAACACGGAGGGTCTGAGAGGTCTAGTAGCACCAGATCTGGGTGACATGACATACATGTGACTGCAGGGATAGAGTCTGAACTTTTTTTCCTTTTTTTTCTATTGTCAAGAATGTACAGAGTGATTACAGTTACATATGTAAGGTAATAAGCACATTTCTTGTCCAACTTGTTACTGCTTCCCTCATTTTTCTCCTACTTTCCCTCCCCCAATCCCTCCCAAGTTGTACAGATCATTTCCAACATATTGTCTTGTGTATGTTGCTATTGCGTTGGTCCCCCCTTGTCCTTTGTCTCATCATTCTGTTGTTTCTCTTCCCTTCCCTAATTCAAATAAATGTATGTAAAATACTAGGGTACCAAAATCAAATACAGTGACAGCAAAGGATATACCATAGAGGGAAGAGCATACAAAAAATCACATAGTACATTAAAAAATAACAACAGGAAAGAAAAACCTCTTGTGTCCATCTCTTGGAGTTCATTTCACTTAGCATCATCTTATATGGTCATAGGTACATAGCTATTGAGTTATTCTACTCATCTGCTAAGCTTATCCTAGGTGTATAGTAATTATTGAAAATAAGGGAAGCCATGGGACCTATGTTTCTTTGTGTGTGAATTACTTCACTTAATATAATTTAAAAAGAGAATTCTCTGAAGAGAAACTAAGAACGGCCAATAGACACATAAAGAAATGCTCTACTTCTCTGGCCATAAAAAATACAAATCAAAACAAGACTGAGATTCCACCTCACCCCAGTTAGAATGGCTATAATCAAGAACTCTAATAACAACAGATGCTGGAGCGGATGTGGACAGAAGGGAACCCTACAGCATTGTTGGTGGGAGTGTAAACTTGTTCAACCACTTTGGAAAGCAGTATGGAGGTTCCTCAAAAGACTCCCCATAGAGCTCCCCTATGACCCCGCAATCCCACTTCTGGGTATTTACTCAAACAATCACAAACAAGGCCATACTGAAGCTACCAGCACAACTATGTGTATTGCAGCATTATTTACTATAGCTAAGATATGGAAGCAGCCCAGATGCCCCTCAGTAGATGAATGGATCAAGAAAATGTGGTATAAATGTACAATGGAATTCTATGTTTCCATCAGAAAGAATGACACCACCCCATTTGTAAAGAAATGGGAAGACTTGGAGACTGAACTTTGGAGTGTATGTTGGGGACTATATAGCAAATTCAGTTGAATCCCTGTTTAAAGAACCTAAAACCAGACAGTCGGAGACACTAGCTAAGCTGAGGGTCTCTTCATCACATCACCTGAAGTCCCCCTTTCCTCTAGCTTAATCTTATGTTTATATTTTTTCACCTATTCAATTTTGTGAACAAAGTCAGAGAAAAAAATAAAGTCTGCCCTGAATCCATTCCTCCCTCATGCATCCGATTTTTCTCCTTTGAAGCAGTAGCGGCTGCCAAGGCAGGTTCCCTCGGGCCTATCGAGCATCAGTCAGCTTCGCAGATGAAGGCCAAGATGGGAAGACAGAAATCCCTCCTCTAGAGAACATTGCTAATGTTTTTCACTCTAAATTCAGTCTTTCATTATTGAGCACTTTTAACACAACGCTGAAACCTGAAAGGAAATAATGCAAAGTCCTGGATTTCAGGAAACAATGGATGTTTTCCTATTGACTGCCTAGGGCCAAACTGAAGTTGGAGAACTGAACACTCAGAGTTCTGATTCATTTTCAATCTGTTTTTTTTCTTGCCTTGTTGTTGTTTTTAAATTTTGTGCTTAAATTTTAGCATATATATTTGAGAGGTACAACAGGACATCTTCATATGCATATACATAGGAAAATAGCTTTCCTTTAACTCATCTTTCCCCATTTTTCACTACTGTATTAGAGACAAACTTGATTAGCCAAAGACAAGAAGAGAAATCTGCCTTCACATTTATTTAAGACTTCAGTGGCCCTAGAGCCTTATCAAGAGAAAACAGAAGAGTAAGAGGCAATGCTTTTTAGCTTAGATAAGAATTCCATATTCTAATCTGAGTATTGAAAGGAGAAAAACTAGAGAAAGAAAAAACACTGGTAGCTATCAACATAATGTTTTAATATGTTACAATATTATTAGTCATAAATACTTCTGTAATAGTTATCTTTATTGTCATCCAACTAGGTTAAGAAAAATCTATATTAGTAAGACAAAACTCGAAGGGGGAGCAGTGTTTCCAGAGAGAATATTAGATTTTGTAAGCTCTGACTTATTGGGTCAGGGCTGGGAAGTTGGCTTAGTGGTAGAGTGCTTGCCTCATATGCATGTGGCCCTGGGTTCGATTCCTCAGCACCACATAAGCAGAAAAAAGCCAGAAGTGGCGCTGTGGCTCAAGTGGTAGGATGCTAGCCTTGAGCTGCTGCTGAAGAACAGCATCAGGCCCAGAGTTCAGCCCCCACAACTGACCAAAAAAAAAAAAAGAAAGAAAAGATGTACACCACTGACTTATTAAGTCAGAGTCTAATGGTTTAATTGTTTAATCCACTGATGAATTTGAAATTTCAAATACATGAGTAGGAGACAGTAGAACTTCTTGTATTGCATAGTTAAAGGAAAACAGTCACTGGGACATATCCTCATCAGAACTATACCTGGCAGGTCCCTTTCTGTTGCTTGTCTTCTTCCTGGCTACCATGATGTAAACTACTCTGCTCTGACAGTATGAGTCAAAATAAATCCTTTCTTCTTTAAATTGTTTGTAGCATGTATTTTATCACAGTCACAAAAAAAGCAAATAAAAATGCATCCATCGTACCTTGAACAATATGTAAAATGCAATACATGAAGATTTTACATTGGCTTACTTTTACAATAGGCTCTACTATAAATTTGTCCTAAAATTGGCCTCCTTTTTTTATGGAGAACAGGTTAGTAAGCCAACAATAATATATCATTTACTTAATTCTTAATACCTATTTATTGACAACCCTCACTACGTTAAGCACTGCCTAGGCATTGAAAATTTCTCAGGGAACAGAAAATACATCATTCCTGGATCTTGATTGACAGTGCAGAAAACAAACAAGACAAATAGATAAAATGCAGTAGACTTGTTCCTGTAGATAGATGGTTCCAAGGATATTACCACTGAGCAAAAACCAGGAATGCTCAGGATACACAGGTTTTAGTAATATTCAGTAGGAGTTTCTTTCATTTTTCCCATAAATAATGCCCAAATTTCACTAAAGAGATATTTTTCAAATATATTAAAGAAAATAAATGTTTGTTTTATCACTTAAATTAAGCCCATTCACTTTTACTTTGCTTCAGGGGTACCATATTTGATTTGGAATGTGAATATTTTCACAAAATTAAAGAACAAAGCAAAACAGAAAAAGACAATATTGTAAGTTGCCATCTGGAAGGATGGCAACTTCTTTTATTATCATCTTTAAGTAGTTGTATAAAGAAGTTACCATCCAACAAAGCAACTTATGAATAAAATATATCTTAATCTTTTTTATAGTGTGATTAAGAGGACCTGATGAGAAGCTGATCTTTGAATAGAAACAGGACAGAAAGAAGAATATATTTGGCAAAATAGAAATTCACCAGCAAAGAGCAAGTGCACAGACAATGAAACAAAATCTAGTCTCACATCAATAAGAAATGATCAGAGGCAAACAAAAGGAAAGATACAAGAAATTAGAACAGAGGGGAAAAAAGGGGCCAGATTCTATGTAATTATATAATGACAGCAAAATAGATTTACTTTCCATGTAAGTAGGATGGGAATCTCTTAAAGAGTTTAAGTAAAGAAATCACATAATCTGATTTGCATTAACACCATCTGACTTATATTTTAAAAGGATCATACCGATTAGATTACAAAAGACTGAAGTAGTTTAAGGTCAATTGCTTTTATAATAATCCAAATGGGAAACTACATTGACCTAGATGATTGCAGTAGAAAAGGGTACTGTGTAAAAATCAATGAATTTTAATGATATCTAGAAAGTAGGAATTAGACTTGCTGATATACATGTGTGTGTTTGTGTGTGTGTGTGTGTGTGTGTGTGTGTGTGTGTGTGTGTGTGTGTGTGTGTGTGTAGGGGAAATTTTGAAAACTAAATGTTTGACCTGTGTAATTAATCCATGTTGTTACCAACTATCTACTTAAGGAATGTCATGTTTGTGGGGGTCTTTGTTTACTTGTCTGGGTTTTAATTTATTTATTTTGATCTATTTATTTTTGTCTTTCCTGGGAGTGGCAGGGCCTGATCAGGAACTCATTTATGAATATGTTCAATTTAAGATGCCTATTAAACATCGAAGTTGAGATGTCAAGTAGATAATTGGATATGCAAGTCTAAATTGATAGAAGAGGTTTGCAAGGAAGCAAGGAATTTGGGAGTCATTAGCATATAGATGAGGAAGAATCACCAAAGGAGACATAAAGAGAGGTCAGAAAGTTAGAGAAAAACTAGGTGACTGTCATATTCTGAAAACTAAGTGCAGAAATTAGTAAAGGAGAAAATAAAATTGATGGATGCTGTTTATAGGTCAAAGGTATTAAGAACTAAAAATGGCTAGATTTCTCATTGGAAGAATTCATACAAGTAGTATAGACATCATATAGAGGCATAGACTGAAGTCTGATTAAGAAGAGAGAAATTAAATATAGTAAGTCTTGACAACTCTAGGTTGCTATAAAAGGTATGCTATAAAAGAATGGTAAGAAATAAGGGATGGATTGTAAAAATAAATTGGACTAAAATTTGATTTACAGGGTTAAGTATATGTTACTCATTATGGGAGGGAAAAGAGAGAAGAAATAGTCTTTATGACTCTGAATATTAAAGGGGAAAATACTGATGCTATAAAATGAAGAAAGATCTCAGTGTGGTAATGCATGCTTGACATCTTGTCACTTGGGAGGCTGAGGCAGGAGCAAGTTTCAAGCCAACCTAGCTGAAGAAACAAGGAAGGAAGGACAAAGAGAAGGAAAGAAGGGAGGGCGGGAGGGAGGAAGCAAAGAATGAAGGATTGATTTACTGATTTAAGATTTAAGAGAGTTGTTAATATGAAAAGTACTATACCCAAAGATTGGCCCAAGAATAAAACAAGCTGGGAGATGGTTAGAAATGCAAGTTATTTTGTATTTTGCTAGTGCGGTCACAATTTCTTGATGGAATCCTAAGAATCTGGATCTTCTCAAGTTTCTAGGTAATTCTTACGCACGATGATCTTAAAGACATTGACCTAATGCTAAAGGGTGAAGTCTACCTGGCCTAGGAACACAGACAGCTTATGTTTGGCAACAGGAGAAGGGATGCATATATGGGCATAGGTGAAAATGGGAAGACAACTGTGATGGTAAAACCTTATGGATATTGTCTTGCCATTGCTTTAGCCTCTCAATTGGGGAAGCAAGATCAATTGTCCCTTTCATTTATCCATTTTCTAGCACTACAGCCCCAGAATATCTTGGTATTCTGCAGCTATCTTATATTATGATCTTCCCCCAGGACCACTGAGTTGCAGGACAAGGACTTACTCCCAGCTCAATTCAACATCCCCTTGTTAAGCCCCGCCCCTATCATCATTGTTCTTCCAGCTCTGCTACTCCTTTTGACCTTGCTGAATGATATTCTTATCAAAGATAGATAGAGTTGACATGAGTTAGGCATCCAGCAAAGATATATGTGAGCACTTTCAAATACATGCTCTTATCAGGTTTTTCCAATGACCCTTCTACACAAATACTTTCAATCTCATTTTATAGATGAGAAAAGTTGAGATCCAGAGTTCATCAATGTCAGTTTGCTAGCCAATGAAAGAATCTGTAATACTATACCCTAAACGGCCTTTAAGGTCTTGTAGCAAAGGGAAAGAGATTTATTTGTCTAGTAATTGTCCTAGCACACCTGCACCAAGGTACACAGCATCCCCAAAATGATTCTGTCTCCCACCCTTTTCCATCGTTTGTGACTTTTCCTGCTTTTCCTATTTAAATTGTTAACCACTGTCTACTGCTTTTTCTAGAGTTCATTAAAAAAAAAAAAAAAAACCCTTTTGTTTACTGTAAAGATGATGTACAGAGGAGTTAGGGTTACATAAGTCAGGTATTAAGTACATCCCTTTCTGAATGGTATCTTCTGCTCTCTCGGTTTCTACCAGTTGTTTCCATCCTGACTACCCCCAATTGTGTAGTTTATACCAACATTAAGCTGTTCTTACAATCTGTCAATCAGTGAAATCCATCAGTGTTCTACCCAATTACTAGCTTCTTCCTTTTCTCTTTTTTATCACTCCTCCCCTTCTTTCTGCTCTTCTTCCTTTTTCACCTCCTTCATCAATAATCTATTAATCTCTGTAATTATTTTTTTCTTTTCTTTTTTCCTTATCCTGGTACTGGGTTTCAACTCAGCTCTTGCTTAGCTTTTTCACTCAACGTGGTGCTCTACCACTTGAGCCACATCTCTACTTCCAGCTTTTTACTGGTTAATTAGAGGTAAGTGTCTCTCATATTTCTCTGCCTAGGCTAGCACCCAACAATTCATAGATCTCAGCCTCTTGATTAAACAGGATTGTAAGTGTGAGCCACCAGTACCAGGCTTATTGTTGTTTCTTTACAGCTGTATCTAATTTACAATTTCTCCTTTTCCCTTAAAAATATTATAAATTACAAAATGTAAGTTCACATTGATTTTTTTCCCTTTTTGGTGCTTAGTGAATATTCTTAAATTCTTTAATTTATTTTGACCAAAATCAAATTTGGAGTACACAATTATCTCTTTATCTAGTTATTTTCTACCATATTTTGTGTGACAATCAGCACTTTTGCATTTATTTACCTTGCCATATCTGCCTGTGCTGTGTTCCCCAGGAATCCCCAGCCATCTATTACTCAAATGGATCCAAAACTTAGAAACAAACATGGAAAATTAAAAACTATGTGCTACGAATCAAAAGAAAAAATTTTCTGTTACAGAACATACCTAAATTATATGTCTTGCTTACTTAATATTTATTTGCTTAGTAATTATATATTACCTAAGACTAACATGAAATACTCAAGATAATAAAAAAGACATCCTGGCATTTAAAAATATCTAATGAATAAATATGGTAATCAATATATTTTAGAATTTCATGAGCAATTATGCATAGTTGTAGATTTTATAGCTATTGATCCACCTTGAGATTCTATAAAGAAAATAGATTTATAATCAGGACATATTTTCAGTGTGATTACTAGATTGAGGCAAGTATTTGTTACTTACTGGAGATAGAAGTTGTTTCTGTTTCTAACTTATTGAAAAAGTATGTAGATAATCTAAAGATTATCATGAGTTAAAATTAAAGAAAATCTCTGGTTGTTTGAAGATTGGGATCTGTATAGGCTACACTGGTTTGTTTTTGTTTTTGTTTGTTTTTTGTTTTTAACTAGACCATAAAGGTTATGAGGCTTAGGTAAAGTAACCTTTTTCTGAAATTCAGATTACCAGTCTTTGATGTTCTGTGCCGCAAGCAAGTCACTCTGGGTATGGATAACAAGGAAGTCTACTTCTTTGCCCCATCATGATTCTTCGGATGTTTTTCTATCCCGATAAATGACACTCATCATCCAAACGCAAAGCTGGAGGCTGACCAATTACTTCTTCCTAACTTTTCACACATACTCAACCACAATGAACTGCCAACTCCCTTACAAGCCTGCATGGAATCCATCCACTCATATTCCACTGACAGATTCCTTATGCTTGGACGCCACCCATCTTTTACCTAAACTATATCTGTAAGTGACCTCCTGCTTCTGCTAAGGGTTGTTCACCCTGTAGCCCTTACCTGTCTCTTTTCATCATAAAAATGTCGAAGTAATAATTCACATGTAAGACGAATGATTTCACTGCTTTGCATTAAACACTTGCATGACATGCACAATTAAGTCCAGATACCTCCGGGTGCTCTGAAGCCTTGGGACTGGTCCAGCCACTATTTCCAACCTTCATTCTTAACATTTCCATCACAGGGCAGCCGTTACTTCTCCATAGCAAAAGTCTTTTCTATCTGAAAACTAGATTTAAACTTTTGAAATGGAAATCACAGCAGGGCATAATGTTGTACAACTGTGATCCCAGCTCCTGGGAAACTGAAGATTGTGAGTTTGAGGATAACCTATGCAATATGGATGTCCAGACTTTGCCTCAACTAACCTAAATAAATTCAATGGAAATCACTCTGAGAGTTCTGCAAACTATTTAGTTCTTTGCAAATTGTAGTTATTTTTATTTCCTCCAAGGAATAATCATTACACTTTAAGGTTTTTCTATTTCTATTTGTGTATTTAAAGCTCTTCTCATAACCAGAAATTTTAGCTTTCATGTTGTTTGTAAACATCAATGAATCATATACCTCATCATTTTTTTTCCAGTTCTTCAGTGTACTTACTTGCGTCTCTAGGAAATTGAAATAAGCACTGTATTTCTTCCTTTCTTTTTAATTTGCAAATAAGAGATTTGTTTTCCCCTGACATTCAATCTTATACTCTTCTAAAGATGCTATTATTTTGTTGACTGATCGTTCATTAATAAGTAAAATTACCATCTGCTGCATGACTTCCTAAATTATCCAGTAATTGAATGTATATTAATTTTCCATTTTGGAAATTAAACTATCAAAATGACACCACTGTTCTTTGTTGGAGCTAGATAGAGTTCCAGGTATGTTTAGATTTGCATTCTGACATTACCACATTTATATACTAATGTCCACTTTCCCAGTACTTTCTATGAATAATCTGCTAACTTAATACATAAACTAGGGTCCTTTTATCCTTCTTGGTTTTTAATGTGGTATAACTTTTGAATCACCAAAAAAGAATAATACTTATATATATAGCCTCAATTCCAAGTTAATAGATGCAAAGAAGATTTAGAGTTTCTTAATGGTCTGGAAGTCTAAAGTACATAGACACAGTATAAATATGCATGCCTTTCAAATTTATTATAGACATTTTTCTTTATTTGTCCTGTCAAAACTGTTAAGAAAAACATGTATCTTTGGTTGAAAATTGCAGATGCAAACAGTTTCAGAATTCTCCTAAGGAATCAACAGAATATTTTTCCTTTATATGATCCATTCTATTTCATTTAATTTTCATGCAGCTACATTTCCTTTTGTGTCTTTTCTGTTCTTTGTTTTAAAATTCATTATTGTATATAACGATGACTGCCAATTTATTCCTTTTGGGGCCTGAAGTTTGGATGGATGCAGTTTGTAGACTTTGTTAAAAATAAAAATACTACAACAAAATTACTCACAAGCTTTGAACACGATATTCTGCATTTGCCAATGGAGTTCTAATAAACAGATTATTGAATTTTAGAGCTGAAAAGGGCCTCAGAGAGCATGGAATCCATCCCTCATATATTATAGAAAACAATAAAGCCAAGGAAGATTAAGTCACTGACCACTCACACAGCTAACTAGGGAACAAGAACCAGACCCTCAAACTTGCCAAATCCAAGTCCTGTGGCCCATTTAATAAATCACACATCGTCTGAAGACAGATTTTCAGTATTATCAGACTGTCATTCCTCATAAAGTGAAAATACAATTAGCTGAGTTTGCCATGTGACTCTCTACCTACAAAGCAAAGCAAACATTCTCAAAGACAAACCTGGGAACATGGAATTTCTATGACATAACGTTTCTACAAGGCCACCCTTTCTGACTGTTCAGATATAATATGCCTTAAGGAAATGATCACACAGGCAACGGCTATTCATTTTTAACATGGTAATTTCCTATTAGGATTAGTATCTGATTATCTTGGAAATTATCTACAGACTTCTATTTTCTGTGCCCTCCCTTGTCCAGAGAAATCTGTAAATATTAAATTTGGCGTTTGAAATGCATGCTTTGGCAGATCTCCATTTAAAAGGAGGTTTGTGGTGTTTTGTTTTTCCTATGAAAGATAAAGCACAGCTGATTATACTTGTACAAACCCCAAAGGAAATGGGCTTTGTTGATGGTAACTGACTGCAATGAAGCTGGAAAAGCTCTCATTTCTTCTTGCCCTCCAACCTCTGCTGTGATCATGACAAGCCAGCCCTACCAGGAACACAGTGATGATCCAGCAAAGCGTCTTTACTTGGGAGGAAAAAGAAGGCAGGGCACTCCTCAGGAGGGTGGGCAATGAGGGTTCTGTATGCGTTCCCGAGTGATTAGAGTTTCATACTGTAGAGGTGGCTCGCTGTAGTGACGCCTCCCACTGCCAGCCAGGCTCCGGGATCCTAATCAGTCACTATGAAAACTCATTAGCTCCACAGCAATGAGTCCTCCACTGCTGAAGCTTGGTGCTCTGCTCAGTACCATGGCAATGATCTCAAACTGGATGTCCCAAATTCTACCGTCTTTGATAGGACTGAACGCCACGAGCCTGTCGACGCCAGATATTTTAGTAAGTCATTCCCATGGGTTTGACCATCTTGGGATGAGAATGTATTATATCAGTGTAAATTGCAAAAGCTGAGATTTTTATGTATAGTCTGACTTCAAAGAGATCTTATCTATACGATAACTTTAATCATAGATATTAAAGAACACTTTAAAGTTATGCCAAAGTGGGGTGGGGGGGTGGATTGAAGATTCTTTGAGAAACTAGCTGTAAAAAGAGGCACTAGACTCCTTAAATTCTTACTAATGAAAAGCTTTAAGTGGACTATATTAATTTGCAAATTGCAAGGAATTTTAAAAATGCATGGTTTACTTTTGGATTATCATTATTTTGCTTCCTGTGATGTCTGTAAATTTTCCATAACATCTCCCACAGAATGAGATGTCCAGTATATTCTGCCTAGTTTTTTTACTACAGTAGGTTTTTCTTTGAAATGCAATTAATGCAGTGAGTAAATAAAAATAAAGAAATAAGCTCATGTATTTAAAGCCTGCCCAAAAGACCTGCAAGAGAGCTAAATAACACAAATGATAGAAAACACTATATCATTGTATTATTTATTATTTTATAGACTTTTCTTGTTACTGGTTTAACTTGCATAGTTTTCTGTCCCCTGAAACTAATGGAATTTAGTCCTTCCCACTTTATTTTAATAAAGCCTTTTCTGGTACCTTGAAGCAAAGTTTGATTAATCACACTCTGAAATACTTTAAAGACAAATAAAAACTCTGTTAAAAAAATAAAACTTTAAAAATTCAATTAAAAGGAATAGGCTAAGCAAAAAGACAATTTCCTTAATACAATATTTTTTAAAAATCTACAGAAACAAATAGGCTTTGAGGATTTTTAACCTTTATATGGATTATTTGAGAAACTAAAACCTGAAAAGTAGCCTTCTATTTTTAAGAGTTGTCTGCAGTTACTAATAATAATTAATCTATCAATCAATGTGTAATTAACTGAGTAAAGCTAGACTGAATTAGTTACATAATATGTTAGCTTCTCCTAGGGCTTAGGGACCAAGGGAATAATGTGAGGAAAACTTCTCCTGCCTTCACATTTTACCACCCGTAAGTCATTCATAATGTATTACTGAGTAAAGTCTCTTCCTTACTTGCAGGTGATGGCTTGGCAGAAAGGATTTAAAGAGATTCATGGTTAAAAAGCAAATGTGATATGTCATTACCATTACAATTATGAAGAATTCTATACTATTTATATTTAGTGAATCAAGGTTTTCCAAAGCCTAGGTACCTAATTCTTTCCATGACATAGTGTTGAATTAACCCTTTCAGAAAAACAATACCCAAGGAAGACCAAGACATAGTTGTTGAGTTAACCCTTTCAGAAAAATGATACCCAAGGAGGAAAGTGATTGATGAGTTAAATTAAAAATTTGACACCATTATCCTGAGGTGTGTGGGGGTTTTTTGTATTTAGACATTGGCTTGGTTATTTTCTATTGTTAATAAATGAAGGGATGTAAATTTCCAAAGCCGTAAATGATTCCTTAAGGACTTCTAGTTACCTTGCAAGTTTAATCTTAGTTATTGCTACTTTCTGACTGATAATGTGTTCATTAAAACATACAAAGCATTGCTGTAAGTATACATACTTTTGGTACACTAATGCTTTGGATATTTCCCCTTGGCGAACAAAAATCTCAGAATATCAAGCAAGTGTTCACAATGGCTAGTGTTCATAAGTTAATAAATGGTATTCTCTAGAAAAACAAAGAAACCAAACTTTATTTCTGCCTTTGTCTGCTTTACAGAAGAGTAATATCAGTTCAATAATTATTATAGATGACTACTCATAACTTTAATTAAAATACTGAATGAATTGGTATTTCTTAGATACAGACCATAAAAATATTGATGCAGAAATTTGGATAGAATGTTAAAAAAAATCACAAGCATCTGGATGGATTATTTTAACTTTATCTTTAGTAACAAAAACTTTTTTGGCAAAGTACATCTCAGATAATATATGCAGGATAGATATTGTTTCAGTAAAGCTGTAAAATAGATAATTGATCAAATAACTTCTGGGATGATCACTTATTAGGATTCTATCATTTTCTTCCTACCCATTCAAACTCTAAGCCCAGTGAATATACTCCACTGAAGCCTTAGTGATGTTATAGTGGGATTTAATCATGTGATATAGAAAAGTCACATTTTGAGAGGTCGAATTGGTAGTCTGTGTTAGAAAACTGATGACTGTAAGGCAGAAACATGTCTCCCCAAAACTTGCAGCCTCGAATATTTAATTCTGTTAGGAAACGGAGCCATGAGGGTGGGAGAGTAAAGAGCGAGCAGAAAAACAATCTCAACAAACCAGATTAACTCTAATGGGGGGTTGAAGTGGGTCCCCATGGTGACTTGAATCAGGAGACACCAGGCATGGTGCAAAAAATGGCAGCTGAGGTGGTCAGAGCTTAAATAGTGTCATGATCAGAGGGTAGGGTCACAGGAAGCTCAAGAGTTCAAAGAGTCTCTCCAGTTCTTGGTACAAGCCTGTCAGGTGCAGTAATCCTGACTCTAGGAATTCAGACACCTGGGGTTGGAGGTGGGGCTTCACCTCTAAGAGTTTTCAGAAAATCCCCATCCACCAAGGTGCCAAGATGGCATCAGTTAGACCCAGTATCCAAGTTTCAGAGGTCTCAAGATTATCAATGGAAATACACCTCCTATAACCCATCCTTGTCATATTGAAAATGAAAACAAAAGATCTCAAAATGGACAAGTGATCAATGAGATTGCCTCCAGCTGGTTAAGGGCAGAACCAAATATGGATCCAAGTCAGTGGTCTGCAATTCTGCCCAAAGAAGTCATTTCTCACATCACTTCCATTGCTAGGTTTCACCCTGCCTGGTCTCTGCAACCACACTAGATTCTCCCTGACTCTTACGAGACTGTTTCCAATGTCCCTGGACTATTCTCTCTCCTTCTATTCCATAACAAAATCCTATTACTTAAAATATGTCTTTTCATCTCTTTAATCATACAGAGCTAGAAAAAAGCTATAAACTCAGCTAGGTTATAAGCCTTCCAAAAGGTTTTGCATGCATAAAGAAGACAAGATTTGGGAGAGTAAGGGAGGTAACATAAAAGGTAGGACAAGGGTGAACAAATACAACAGTGATGCTCACTAGACACTATGTGGAAAATGAAGTGGATATCTTGTGGTTGGGGATGGGAGAGAAAAACCGGATGAGAGCGATGGAAGGAGAGACATGGTTAAAAAGAATTGTACTCATTACTCATTACCTGATTCATGTATATCAACTCTACAGTAACAAAAAAAAAAGAATCTCCTCTGTGGCATCTTAGTCATTGGGACAGAGCAGTGAAGGAGATGTTTCTGATCAGAGTATGTGCTTCTAGAAGCCTCTCACAAAATTCAATAAAGAGCCTTGTGATTATTTCTATGGAGAGGGTTGCTGGGACTCTTAGCTGGAAGCGTGAGCAGATCCTTAACCAATAGGTATATCTGCATGGCAATAAGCAAAACCAGCTTTTTTCTTCCATTCCCCCCTCACTTTCTATCATGAATGTGATCAGCCTTCAACCAGCACATGCCACACATGGAAAAGGAGGTCTCCAAATTTGTTTTCATGTTCGTTCCTGGAACGTGCAAATAACAAAAAAAATGCAGCTGTGAGTATGAATGTGGTCTTTCTTAAAAATAATAGCTTCAAATGACCTGAATGTATATAATATGTATTATATACGTGTGTGTATGTGTGGGTAGATGTACATATGGATATATTTTTTTTCTTTTTAAAGGATAGTTTGAGTCATTAAATCATTAAATGGCAATGAAATTTGCTTATGGCAGGTGCTTCTGAAATAGGCAGGATTTGATTGTCTCAAAAGCTGAAAGACTTTTGAAATTCCCAGAACATTTAAGAAAATAATAAATCATTAAATACAATTCATGAGGTGATAAACACTCTTTAGGTACGACTTTTTAAATGACTTTCATTTATTCGTCTCCTGTGGCCCTCATTTCCATTTTTGTTTGTTGCTTGGTTTTTCTATTTGCCTTTTTTGTGCCTTACTCCCCTGTTGTTATTATTATCGACATTGTTGTTTTTACTTCTACACTGTAGCATGGGGCTTGGCCTTTGGAGAGATTGGGTGTCTGAGAGGAGAATTCAGCTCTCTGAAGACTTAGGCTCCCTCTGGCTCTTCTCTCTGATGCACAGTCATTTCCCCAGGAGGCTGAGCTTCTGAGAAGTCCCTCATGCTGTGGACTCCACACCAGGAACAACACAGGAAAGAGCAATTAAATAAAGCTAGAGGACATAGAACAGACACAAGCTGTTCTCAAATAGTCATCCTTACCTGCTGTTGGTGGTAGGACAAGGCCTGCAGGGGATTTGTGGGCATAAACCATTTGTTTTATTACATTTTAAAGTATCCATCTGAATTCTCCTTATAACTACTTTGATGAATTACTCAACTTGAAAGTTCTGAAATACCTCCAAACAGTCAATATACCCTCTAAGTTTCTTATCCTTGACTAACCAACCTGTTCTTAATTCTAAAGGCAACTGTCTGACTTTAGTAGTTTCGGCTTGCTTTATTTATGTTTTGGAGGAGGAATGTTATTTTGATTTGTAGTGCTGGAGGTAGAAATACAGGGCTTTGTGCATACTAGGTAAACACACTACCACCGAGTTACATCTCCAGGCTCTACTTGACTGACTTAACCTTTTCATTTAGTTTGTTGTTGTTGTTGTTGTTGGTTGTTTGTTTTGAGACAAGACATCACTATATAGCTCAGGCTGTTCTCAAATTCAGCCTCCAGGTGCTCAAATTCAAGTGTAACTAAATTCAGGCATCTTATTGTGATTCATATGATCATTTTTCCCTGAAAAACCATTATGAAATGTATATTTCATGGTGAGCAACTAAACAAATTAAGGAGAAGAACTAGGTGAAAGAATAGAATGACAAACAAATCATTTTTTAAATTTACCTTTAAAAATTGTA